CTATTTCAATCCTGTAAAAGCGTTTTCAAATCCGTTCAATCGTTTCGGAGTTATTACTTAGAATGCAAATGTCGGTAATTTTTACCTTCTAGCATCGCCTTAAGAAGTTAATTCATCTCTTAAACAATAGAAGATACGTATAAAAAATACATTTTTTAAGTATCTTTTAAATTTTTGTGTTTAATGTGAGAAAAGAGGTAGAAAGAAAACTAGAGAGCGCAATAAGTATACGCGATAGAAGGTGCTGAGGCGTCACGTGCGTTATCGGATGTGAGTTTTCTTTATTAAAATAGATTTAGATCTGCGACGAGAGAAGCGAGATTGCTTATAGTTGCGAGTGTGAATATTTAGTTCAGTTTCGTTCTTCAATCGATATTGTAATCTTTGATTTCAAATAAATATATTTGTTGTAATTTATCATACTTGTGGGATTCTATTCCTACAATACCATATTTAAAAAAAAATCAAATTGATTCCAGATAATTTGTCACATATAAGTCCCTTATAAGTAAATACACCAGAGATATAGGAGATTAATAAAAAAATTATAAATAAATTCATTGCTTCATTAAAGATGATTCATGAAAAATTTCTTTCTCTTATTCATTTTTCATGTATCTGTATATTGTGTATGTGTGTATTATTTTTCATTTGAAATAAAACTTATCATATCAACTCAAAGTTATCAATCAGAAAACACTCAGTTCAAAACTTACCCAGCTGGATATGCAACCAATTCGCTAGTTGCATCACAATCGAGGGCTGCATTGCTGGAAACAGTTACACCTAGCACTCGTTCTAGCTTGATCTGAAATATATAAAAAAACTCGTTGTATATTTTTGTTATAACATTTGTACTCTATAATCGTTGATAAAATTCTTAACATATTAATTAATAATAAAATTAATGAATACTCTTACGTTTTGCAATTTAATTTTTATCAATGTGAATTTGACTTTAAAATAGATAGCAAACGAATTTATATTTTAAAACATTTATATTTTAAAGTTTTATTTTCTTAAGATATCTTAAAAAATTTTAAAAATTCTTATTATAATAAATTCTCATAAACTGAAAAATGCTGTATTTATAAATAAAATAAAAAAAACTATACATAAGTATAACAATTTAGATGGTAAACTGTTGCTAAATTTTTTGTATTATTTTTAAATCAGATTATTAAAAGATTAAGATTTAAAATAATCTGTAATTTTTTTCATAATTCTTTTATTATTTCGAAACTGTGTGTAACACTATGTGTTTTTTTATATAAGTTCTTTAAATATTCAAGATAATTTATGCAGTTTTCTTGAAATGCAGAGATTAGTTGTTCTGTAAATAAATAAGTAAATAAACTTTATTTAGACATAGAAACGCGTGTGAAAAAGATGCAATAAAATTGAAAAGGAGGAATTAAGAAATTTTTGAAAAAGAGAAAATGTTTAAAAGAAGTTTTTGGGAGGGACAAAGAAATACAAAGAAAAAGATGAAGTAATTGAACAGAATAAATGAAAAAAGGAGTAATGTAAAGAAGATAGATAAGCAAAGAAAATAAAAAGATATAAATGAAAATAAAAGTCGCATAAGTCAAGAATAAAATATGCATGCGGACAGAGAAATAGCAAAAATTGTAAAATTTGCGTATTATTGTATAGGACAAATATGCAATATTAAGATTTAAATATTGATAGGAATTAAATATAAAGTTAAAAAGCGAGAGAAATAAATAAAGCTAAAATTAAAAAATTAATTTTCTGAATGTAAATAAAAGATTGAAAATTATTATATATATAAGTTTTAGAAAATAAAAAATATATAATACAATATAACAATAAACGCTACGAGAATTAATGGAAATATTATTCTATTCTTATATTATTGCTCTTTTCATTTATATTGCGCGTTAAAAAGATTATTATTTGTTATGACGTTTACGTCACTTGGCTTCTAGGCAAGTTATTTCCTGAAATATTGCATCAACAGAAGCAATACAGATATTCATAAGATATGTACTTGTGAGATGACAAATCAACATCAACATAGACAGAAACACGAGATATACATAACATAACAGGCCATGTAACACATCGATTGATCGGCATTGATTTGATATAATTAGTCATAGTGTATGGATAGTCTTATATTTCGAAATATTAATCGTTACAAAGCGTCTCTCGAAGCAATAATCACATCAATAATTAAAATCCATTCATTGTAAAGTTTTAGAGTTGTTTTTATCTCTTACACACTTTCTTCGATAATAATACGTGAATCAAATGTTTTTTTTACTACCCACTATTTCCGTTATATGAATGTAAATACATGGAAGATAAATTTTGGAGGATAAACATAATGTCAGTCTTGCTTTCTCGTTTATCCAACACACTTATGTTTTAAAGATCGATTTGTCAATACATGAAAATAAACAGAAAAACTGTGATGTCTTTTTTCGACATCACGCATGCCTTGCGGCTTACAAGAAACGACGTTACGAAATGCACAAAGATGTAGATATATGTAGAAATCGACGGTATGTGCGTTTGTGTCCATATATGCAACGTAGTGATCACTAATCTCCATATGACGTAGAGAGATCTTGATATGTATGTATCAAGGTGTATACATGCGTGTATACAGGTATAGATATAGCGATTATTCTGATTATGCAATAATTTTTAATAAACATATCATAATAAAAAAAAATTTAATTCTTAAACAAATATAAGCTAACATAAAAGGGAAAATCTTCAAATTTTCAAATTCTGCTACAAACCGCAATAACTTATAAATACAATTAAAACGATCGTGCTAATATATAACTTTCGCGGATTCAATTATTGCAATATATTTTATTATAAATGTGACAAAACATATCCATGAAAAATTAGTTTTTATTTCAAATTAATCTCAATTGATTTCTGGCGACTGACATAATTGATAAATATTCGGAACATAAAACCGGTTAAAATTCTCTTAGTGATGATGCACCCAACATCCTTGTAAGCAAACTTGCTTTTTATTTATTTCTCTTTCGACGTATTATTTAGATAATGAATGACAACTCATATGTATCTTGTAAATGTATTAAACTAATGCACTATTCGTCATCTTCCATCAATGACAAATTATAGTAACAAATGCATTATAAATAAAAATAGGAAAAATTCTCTATTGTATTTATTATTGGCGATCCTAAAGTCGTCTGCTTTATCGACCAAACATGATTATTTTCCATGAAAAAATAAACATAATTAAAGGCAACAGATTTAAAAATCCTTCTCCACGATTAAGGTATAGGTATCATTGTAGTTCCAGCTGGTAGAGATTTTGCTGAGAACAAAAAAAATTTAAGAAATTTAGATCTCCGTTACCTTTTTTTACTAGAGTTGTCAACATGTGCCAATATTTGCTTCGTAGAAAATTTTAGCAGTTTATTGGTGCAAAATGATACCAGCCGGAACTACGAATTACATGTGCAAGCAATGTTGAGTTCATAAAATTAGGCTTGGATGCCTAATAAAAAAGATGTATGTTCTTGAAAATTTGTTACGATGTGTGCGTGAGATATCGATATGGTAGTAAACATAAATACATCACTACACACTACCTTATCAATATCGCACGCATACATACTCACAAATAGTCGGTAAAACAGCGAATTATTAGAGTTTGATCTCGGGTTTAGAATTCCCTTAAGGGGTTACACTACCCAGGCGCGTCGAAAAAATAAGCTTTTTTTGTGAATTTTTTCTCAAGTTCTAGGTGGTGGATCAAAAAAAAATTTAGGGCTTTATTACACATATATTAAAGTTCTCAAAAATATTTTTTATTTATATATTGTGACGGGACGTCCCTTTTTTGGACCGTCCGTCACAAGGGATCTGCGGACCCGACCGCGGGCGGTAGCTTCGAGTCCTGTGTCCTTCCGCATTTCGGAGGCGGACGCGTGGCGCGGGCTGCGGGACTACGTTTGCGTGGCTCCCGCGCCCGAATACCGATTATTGTTTGTAATTACTTTTAGTCCGTAGCGATCTCGATTAGTTAACTTAGCGTATCGGCGGCTCCCGGAGACCTTGTACAATTTTACCCGTCTCACCGACGCCGCAACAGCCACAAGAGGAGGACCACAA